TCATCATCTTTTGTATTTTCATAGATAACTTTTGTTGAAAATTTTTTCGTTGAATTTTTCTTTCCATTTGATAAACGATTAGTACCATATGCCATTTTTTCAAATAGTTCAATATTATAACGTTTAATTTTAGGTGCTTTTATTTGAGGATACAATGGTTGACAAAGAAGATAAGCAAAATTTCGAAGAAAACCTTTTGTAAATACATCGCCTTGTTGATGATATTTTCCTGTTACTTGTTCGTTTGTTGTTCGACCTCTTGCAATAAGAAACATATGAAAACCGGTTAGACCACCGATTGGTATAGATAAAAGACCGAGTAATATTAGTAAAACAATACAAATTATAAATCGATAGTCCGAAAGACCAATAAATGTTGATTTGGGTAAATTTGTTGATGATATGATATCATGTTCACTTTTTGGAACTAATGAATCATATGTATCAGATATAAGTGTAGTTGTTATTATTTTATGATGACGATCATGTAGAACGTAATATAAACAAAATGTAAAAAGTAATATCATATGAATACAGAGTAAAAATAAAAATTGAAAAAAATAACGATAATTACGACGACCTAAATTAATAAAACAAAAGTAATTTTTACATTTTTCTTAATAGTTTTTATACATACCAACACAATTATTTAACCAAGGACAATGATGATCGAATGTCTAAAATATAATTACTTATTGAATTTATAAAATAGAACAAAAAAAAAACGTTTTTCTTTCTAGGGGGTAGTCAAGAACTTTATATTAACATTTTTTTGTAATTATTACTAAGGATGGATGATTTCAATCATGGTCAAATGAATTCTAATCTTTACAATGGAATATACTAAAAATCTAAAGCAATTTCATATCAAAGGGCATATTCTCCCTTCTTACCTTTTAACAAAAAAGTTTATATAAACAATTAACAAGTCAGTTTAATGTTAAATATATAACCATTCATTAATATCTAATTCCAAAAACAAATAAAGAATCGATTTTACTCATCTCTATAAAATATCATATGCAAATCCTTGTTTTATCTCATATAACGATGATTTTAATTGTATTATGTGTTCGAATTTCTCTTCGTTTTTGTTGAATTATTCAAAATTAAGATAGTATGTACTCTATTTTGGTAGAATCTATGAATGACAATGTACTTCATTGTAATCAAGAGGCTACTCTTCTATGTTAAGAAATAAATTGCTTTAATAGATTTTTGTTCATTCTATATTCATCACCCAAAAAAAATAAAACAATTCAATTTTCTCATCTGTTGATATACATCATGAATGATTTTTATTTTGCATGACCAAAGATGATTTATAGTTCTTTTTATGACGAAAACTTTCGATTTTATTCACTTAATTTCACTTCGATATAGAACTTACATCAATACATCGCTCGCATATTGAACAATGTGAACAGCGTGGTGGTCGAAATAGTTTGCATGTTCGACAATATTTCATTTGAACTGATCCTAAATAGATATTTAACTATTAATATCTTTTTACATGAAAAGAAAAGAAAAGAAATACTCCTACCATCATTGATATGAATAAGTCGAGGTTGAGGTTCATATACATCATCATCGTCATCATCTGTATCAATGCCTCCTTTTCTTTTTGTTGGACGTACATAAAAACTTATATCTGAATTTTCCTTTTTTAAAGATTGTTCATAAACACCCTATGAAAAATAATTTCGGGTTTTTTTTTTGTCTATAAATTTATATCTTACTGGATCCATATATGTTGCAAGTATAAAATTACCACAAAGTAGAACAAATAAAAGACAATGTGCAATAAGCAATGGTAAAAATGTTGGTAGAAGAATAATAATTTCTGGTAATACACAAATCCAATAAGTAAAGGAAGTACTCAATAAAAGAGCCCAAGCAAAAAATGCAGGAAGACGTTCTGTTGAACATAATTTTTGTGAACGACGATGATGAGATTTTAATTTCGTTTTTGCTTCGACATCTGACGCATATGATGGTGTTGTCACCACTTGCCGTCGTGATGCTTGCGGTGACATCGACACACATCCGATAATTAATCTAAAATGACCTAAAGCTTTTCAATGTTAAACCATGCACCAATGAGATTATTTTTCGTATATGTATGTATATGTATACATATAAATCTTCCTTCCAGATATGCGTTAGTTACCACCTACATCAGTTATTCATTTTACAGATGGTAACGACGATATTTCGAGGTTGTGCATACATACACTAACAAGCGAAAAAAAGAGAAAAGAAGATTTGTATAAGACATACATTCATACATCATATGAAAAAAGGAAGAAAGAGGAATGAATATGAGTTTTTTTTTTCGTATGCAAAGAAAAGAGATGATGATGATGAAATAAGAACACATTCAACAGTTATGCATTATATAGAATGAACCATATGGGAAAGAAAGAGAAAAGAGCGATTATCAAGAGAAAAAAATATATTGATGAGAGACAAGTGGCAATTATGTGTATAAGACAAAACTAACTTCATTGAATAAGAAACAAAAGAGATGATCACAGTAATGCAATAAAAATGAACACAATCAATTGAACAGATGTGTTAATATGACTATTAGTTTATTTTTCCTAAACCACATTGATTCAATAACCAAACAAACTTGAAAATAACAATTAATATAATATTGATCAATAGAAAAAATATGTATATATACTTACGTAAACATAGCGATTATAATTATAATATTCCAAAGACCAATAAATATTCGAAAATATTGAAGACTTGCAAGAAATTCACGTATTTTGTCTCCTAAAATTAACATTTAATGATGAAATTGGTTCTTTACAAGGTCACAAAAATCCAGACTTAGTTCTGTAAAAACGCATATTGTGCGAGAAATTATTATTATTATTAACGGCTCGTATGTTAATGTTAATAATTACTGTATTCGACTCAATAGAGCCGAACTTTTGATTGACATAAGAAAATATCGTTTTGCTGTCTAACAAAGTCAAACTCAATAATTATCAATAGTTTACAGTTACTGTCAATCATCTTAAAAACATATACATTTTACTTATTTCTTTATTGTTTCAAAAAAAAAACAAAGCCTACTATAAATAAACTGAAAAAAATTCTTTTACAATCAAGAAAAAAACATACTTAACACGTTGACTGTCCGGTGTATCATATGTGATGCACGATACTTTGGACTGAGACGTCCCGTGCATCATATATGATGCACGCGCTGTATATGATATTTATTACCCCCCCCCCCCCCCCGATAATTCGAATTTTGTTTTTTCTAGCAAGTTTTTCTCTATAGTATTATTCTAAGAGAGACAATTGAGTCATATGTGTTGCATGTAAAAAGAGATCGAAGATATGTTTAAAACTTATTTTTGTGGTATATAAACGTAATACACTTCAAAAATAATATGTT